GCCCGAAACAAAAATGTTCAAAATTTGATCAAATAGAAGAAAAACTTGTACTGTCTTTGTACTACAAACATATTAACATGGTTACACACAKAGGTACATAACATGACATCTGATTTAGCAGGTGCAAACGTTGCAGACTGAGTTACTCACACAGTCAATTGTTTTATCAAAAACATCTTCAGAAACTGTTTTTTAGACCTTTCCAGTGTTTCCCCTAGACTACTGGTCTTGGGAGGGCTGCTTATAAAAACAGAATGATCAACAGCATCATCTTTGTTTTAAATACAATTTACAGAACATGAAAGTCTGCAATTTGCATTAATTGAATCTTATATAGTCTGTCTCATATCTAAAGAAACATTTAAGATATCTTGAACTGGAGTCTTCCTACAACTTAATGATAAATTTGACGTAATTTATACTAGTCAGAGTATAATTAGAGATATCTTAAACAGGTATTTTGCCTTATCAAAATATATTAATGTATGTATATTTATTTGTTTGTTTCTTTCTTTCATTCAGAAAAACAAAACTATCTACGTACAGTGTGATGGAACTAATATTTTAGTTTTAAGCCAGTATTTCATGACATACTGTACTTTAATGACGTAAGTTTTCATGACACGACATGCTGTTTATCAGCTGATAGAATGATTAAAGTCAGAACAAGATTTGCTAACAACAATCATTCTTAGATATCACTTGTGTTTATCTTTGTGTTTTCCCTTGACCCAGCATTTCCTTAGGATGAAATCTTGCTTTATTAAGATGACATAAAACAGTATATATGAGGCCTCGAGAGAGCCAGGAGCAGAGAGGAAGTGGGACAGTCTGATGGCTCGATGTTCTCTGTGTTCCTGTTGCAAATAAAACTCAGCTGATCATTTCACGGAGTGCCTTCATTCTTGGACCACGTATTTCTGTCTTTGTTAAGTAAATATTTCCATAACATACAGCATTAAAAAAACAAAGTAAATCATACTCTAAATTAAAAGGTGCAGAGTGAAGAAAAAATTCTTATCATATGTGCCCCTTATTATCAAAAATCAACTTCAACAAACAAACAAACTCGAGC